AGGTTGGATGCTAGGAATAATTTCTTCACCGAAAGGGTTGTCAAGCATTGGAAGAGGCTGCCCAGGGAAGTGGGTGATTCACCATCCCTGGAAGTATTTAAAAGATGTGTAGATGAGGTGCTTAGGGACATGGTTTAGTGGACATGGTGGTGTTGGGTTGACGGTTGGACTCGATGATCTTAGAGGTCTTTTCCAACCTTAATGATTCTATGATTCTATGATTCTAAGAAATGTTACGCTAAAGCTGCAGGAAAAACTTCTGGTTTTGTTAAACTTTGTGCACAGAAAAAGAGGTGTTTGCATGTGCAGGCAGTGTTTGCTGCCCAAACAACTGTTCCCTGTTTCCACTGGGAGAGGTGCAGGGAGATACGTTTTGGTGTATGAGGTGCTGTTTTGAAATAGCTTGCGTAGCAGAGTTTGGGAGTCCCTTGCTAACAGCTAATTTAACATTAGTCAAGCCAGAGAGAGTTGGAAGTGTGTATTATCTGGCAAATGCCCTAGATCTTAAGAAAGAAAAACATTCAAGGGCAAATTTGAATTTGTTTTCCCGACATTTTCTGTGACGCAGGAAATACTTTTTAAAAACTTGAGACCACTTTTTGCTGGTTTCTTCTCCTGTAAAGTGTCAAGAGCAGTAAGGCTTGGTTTTCCTTTCACAGTTAGAGAACTATAGTAGAAAGGATTGACAAGGTACAGTGTGCTTGTTTCCATGTGAATTTAAGCATTCAAACCCTTTTTAATAGTAGATTAGCTAAATAGGTGTTAATAAAAACAGTTCTAAGTAATCCAGTCCAAAATTATCTCTCCGTTGTTGCTTCTGTCTCAGAGCTTCCTTCCTCAGAAAAAAAAGGCTAGAAAAATATTTCAGTGCTTTTTAAAGAATAAGCTGAAACCATTCATATATACCAGAAGAGCATCAGTGAAATTCACTCCCTCTAACCACCCCAATGAAATTCCATTTTAAGTTGTCTTAAACCCCTTCCTTTTTTTAAAAAAGTAAATTCCTACATCAAACTATATTAATTTCCACTGGCAATTTTTAAGCAGGATGAAGTGACTTGAGGAGAGTGTTCTTGGCTTTGGTGAACTTTTCAGCTTCACGGTGTTGTTTTAACTTAGTTTTGTGGATTTGTTTGTTTTGGAGGTTTTTTAAAATATATTTCTGAATTTTCCTCCTGCCATTATGTTAATGAGTTTTGGAACAGTATGAAGCAAAGTTTCTAATGCTTGGACCTTTAATACTGCTTTTTCACATACAAAGAAGGCCCAAAAAGTTTGTGTGTCTGACTAATTTCCAGAGAGATTTGTTCAGCTTGGAAAATTCTTCCTTGGTTTTGCTAGAACATGACTTTGATACCCCAGAACCTGGTAAGCACATGTGTATCCTACAAAGCTAAGAGGAACTGAAAGTATATTGGAAGATGAGTTGAATTCAAAAAGGTCAGGACAAATTGGAAAAATAAGATGCAAAAAATAGGGTGAAATTAAACAGACAATATATGCAAGGACACACAGCAAGATGGTGATCAGGTTCACAAATAAAAGATGCCAAACAACTGGCTAGGGATAGCTCTTAAAAAGCAGGAGGAACGTGGGGATTAGCAGAGTTAATGAGCTAGATACAAGTCAACAAATAGCGAGTTGTGAAAAAGGCAAGCATCTTACTGAGAATATACAAACAGGAGGATGGTAAACCTGCAGCTACATCCTTAGTTTGCCTCTAGTTTTCAGTATTGCACTTAAACACGTGATTCAATGTAAAGAGTCCAGATGAGAATAAAAAGAATAATAGGTCTCTGAAGTGTGACCTACAAGGAAAGATTGTGAAGGAATTCATGCTGTTGAACTGAGAGAAAATATGAACTGAGGATGTTAAGTATTCAACTACATAAAAAGAAAACTGTGAAGAGGAAGGGGCTTGTGCACTGTATTAGTTTTATAGGGCAAGAAGTAATTACCTCAAATTTTATCACAGGCTGCAGAGTTAGACATTAAGGGGCAAAGAATTACAGTGGAGATGATAAAAGCAGTGGAATAAGCTGCTATGGAGTCTCCGTATTTGCAGGCCTTTAAGAACAGG